GTTGAGAAAGTGGTTGTCTCAGAGCATACCTTCAAGAAACTCTCTGATGATCAACTCGCTGCGCGGGAAATTTTTGGAGGCCGGCTCGAAATCACTCCTGGTACGGCCTCCCAGGAGCAGCAGTGGAAGCTCGCTACAGCTCCGTTGCCGCGACCCTTGCCACCGCCGGCCTTTGCTTGGACCGTTCTGGCAACTCGACATCAGGAAGTGGTTCTCCCTGCAGTCTTGCAGCCGAAGGCCAGGACTCGGATCTTCTTTCGAGCCTCCAGGGCCGACTTTGTTGCCAACCTGTCGATGATCCGCAGCAGTCAGGGCTCGGTAAGCCTTTCAAGCCACATGCAAATTGCCGTGAGAGGCGAGAATTGCACTCTGACTGGGCGTAAGGAGAGGGTTGAAGACCCTACGTTCAATTCCGGCTTGGGCGCGGAGCACAAGGCCATCATGTATTGCATTGACTTGGATGGGCGCCAGAATCGCATTCAGTTTACTCATGCCGGAGTCTCAAGCATGCTCAACCCCAAGGTGCTCGAAGTCCGCAATGTGAACGCCATGCCCAAATTCTTGAGCTTCAGCATGCCCAGTGGGCACATCAGCTTCAGTGATGTTAGAATTGTCTCAGGGACTGATGATGAACGCTTGTTGGAGCATGAGCGCCCCTGGATTCCTGTGATGCGCAAGGCGGTTGCGCCATTAGCAGAGGAGGACAAGCCGGACAAGCAGCTCAAGGTGACCTTCGAGGAGGAACCTTCCATCGGCTGGATGACGCGAGCATACAATGCAGCGTACAACTATGTTACACGCAGCAAGGGCCAGTCGCAAGTCTCTTTCTGCAGTCATGGCACTGATTGCAAAGTTGCTTACTATACGAAAGACCGATCGCAGGAGGATGAGAACCACATGAACACGAACAGGCATATTTGTTTGTATGGCAAAAGTTGCAGAAAACACGAGGAATCAACTGAGCATGACCAACACTTCTCGCACATGGAGAAGGAAACTTGTGCTGCGCAGCCTTGTGATCAGCTTTGTGATCCTTTCCACCGAGCCGAGTATCATCATCCAGGCATGTGGGATCTCCTGCTACCTTGTCGTGATGGCGCCTCGTGCAAGAAGCAATCAACTCACCTTCATTGCCAGAAGTACCACCATCAAGAGATCACGTACGTCGTGAATGACGAGGGCGTGCAGGTTCAGGCAAAGGCCAGATTGCTGGGGTCCAGGCAGTAGAGTTGTTGGAAACCATTTTGAAGCAGGACTCAACAACCAAGTGAAGTCAAGTTGTCTCTTCCAAACACGTGCGAGGCTGCCCCGAAGAAGAGCGCGCAAGACAGCAAAGCGGTGCGCGGAGCATGCGCGCAAGGTCGGGGATCGGGCGCCAGCAGCAGCCACGAGACGCGAGAGGCGCGGAGTTGAAATCAACGCTTCTTGCAGCGTGACGCTGTTTCAGGTTGTATAGTAGACTGACGTCCAAAACCTACTGACCTAGTGCAAAATCTAGTCGTGTGTTGAATGTCGAGTCAGAATTGGCGAAGGTCCGCCATCGTGGTGAAGCCATGGAAGTTGATTTCGGTTTTGACAAGATCGACGTGGAAGTGCAGGATCGAATTGATGACATGGTGCTTAGACAGCAAGTATTGTTTGATTTGGAGAGTTGCAGGGTCACAACAAGGCGCTAGGTCCTAGGTATATAAAGTAGGAACCCCTTCCACTCACCATGCACCACCTCACCTTCTCTTGTTACATGTAGTTTTTTTGAAACAAGGCGGGGATCTACAACGATGCTGCCATCAGTGGTGATTTTGGTGGTGCTCAGCTGGATATCTATGGCAATCCGGTTGGAGGCGACTTTGACTTAGCACGTGATGGCGCGTTCGAAGGCTTTAAGATCCTGGTGCTCTGCGCCTATCACGGCGAGGGTCTTCCAGCATACTTGCAAAGTCTTACCATTCCTGAGCTATCGAAAAAGGGCTTCAATGTCAAGACTTGCATGACCGTGGACGAGTTCACGCAAGAGCTTCGTCGGCATCAGTATCACGTGGCCTGGATTCTCAGTTCTCAAACTTTTGAAGGAAACAAGAGCGCCTTCTTGGAGGAGATTCAGAAGTTTCATGAGGCTGGCCGCGGTCTTATGATCTGGGGCGACAATGATCCGTTTTACGTGCATGCCAATCTCATTTTGGAGAAGCTCTTTGGATTCCGCCTGATGGGCAACACGCCAGGAACGAAAGAACTCCGCCCCGGAAATCCACGCTCTGCAGGTCACTTTGGTGGACTTCCAAAAGTCTGCGCAGGGATTGTCACTCTTCACGAGGGAGTGACCATTTGCTACCCCAACAAAGTGCCAGAAGATTGGCTGGTTTTTGGCACATCTTCCAACAATCATCCTGTGCTTGTGGCAAGAGAAGCATCTTCAGAGCGTCCAGGTGGGTCTTTTCTTTGTTGGTAATTTTGCTTGCATGTCAGATGTCACCTTGAAAACTGCGATCCAACCACATGTCGACTTGACCAAGCCAGCCTTAGACTCTTGGTGTGCCTCTGCAGGAAAGCCAGGGACCGGCCGCGTGATTGTCGACAATGGCTTCACCAAGCTCTACCAAAGCTATTGGAGTACTGCAGGCACTGCGCGATACGTGAGCAATTGCTCTGCCTGGTTGGTGCTGCGAGAGCGTTTCCGCCGGCCTCAGTGGGGGTTCCATCCGGCTCCTCAGTACCATGCGGGCGGAGCTTAAGCTGCGGGCGTGTCGAGACAGCATGCCGATGGCCTGGGAAATTCAATGAACGTGCATGTAGACTCTAGTAGACTTGGGTCCAACAAGTGGCTCAACTTTAGTAGGCGGCGCAACATGTTCTTCCCTCTTGCAGCTCGTCAGATCTCTCACCTTTGTTTGTGTTGTTTGATGACCTTGCAACTTTTCAGTTGGCACATTTGCGGTGCACTGTTGCTTATATGTAAAGCTGTAAGTATAGATTGCGCTTCAGCCCCATAGTTTTTGCAAGTGTTTCTGTGGAAGAGTGCAAAAGTTGGTTTAGCAACAAGTCAGATCCAAAAACGATCTTGTCCACAGGTGAACTGATTCGTCTTCCTGTGAAACTTGCTCACAACCCGCTCTCCACCGCCTTGGCGAGAATATAGATAGCGGTTTCTTTCGCGAAGGATTCCTCTTATGTCTTGTTGCACTACTCACTAGTCAAAAGTGACAGCACTGAGTTGTGGACAGTCAAGGCACGGAGATTCAATGAGGCCATATTAGTGTCCTCCAAACCTTCATACAATCTGAGTTGGCTTGGATAGACACCCTGCAAGTTGCCTAGCATCAGCCATGACGGAGAAAGCAGAGCGTGCTTGTTGGGCAGTACGTGGAAACGGCTTTGCAGTCCGGAATGTCAACTTGCTCAGCGTGTTGTGACTTAGAAGCTCAAACAAATCCATAAAGTGGTGCTCCAACATGACGCAGCTGCGTTCCTTGCCAGCTCTGCTGACAGTGTTCGACATCTAGAATTGATGCATGTTTGTCATAGGCGCATACATTATATACTAAGGAAGAGTTGACTTATTGAGCCATGGGCTCGCAAGCGATCATGCATTTCTCATCACAAGTCACCAGAGAAGCCCGGCGCTCGGCGACTACTTGCGATTGTAATTGAGTCTCGGCACGCGTTCCCTTGAGGTTTGACGATTGCTAGATACTTCAGCGTGATCTCCAAGTAGGCATTCAGCGTTGATGACGCGTATTGGAACTAAAGAGTGCAAATTGCCATGGGTCAAATGGTTGTTTGTGGCCCGATTTGTTGAATGTTACCAGATGTTACCAGCATTTGGAGAGAAGTGCAACAGTTATTCAGATGACAGCGGTTTGGACTATAGGCCAAGGAGTTGGGACTCTTCGGCAGAGTTGTGGACCCAGGACTTCAACATGTTCCTTTTGAATGTGGGTCCGGCAGGACTTGATTTCCCTTGCAAAATCCTAAGAGTTGTGAGAGTCAATTTCTCCTTGTCAAACTTCTTTTCGCATATCGTTCTCTTGACACATGGAGGGAACCTTCTTTTTCTTTGACGTTTCGAGGCAAACCAGGAGGTAACGTTGGATCTGATCAAGCTCTGGGGTCAGAACTTCCAGAACCGCGCGGGGTAACCGAGCGGGACGCGTGAGCTTTGATGAGTGGGTGTTTCTTTTTCAGGAGACAAATGCGATCTGCAGCGCTTTAAAGAACCCGAATGTGCCATCCATCCGAACACCTCTCAGGTATTGAGGATGGAAGCTTGGAATGCCAGCTCGCCGCCGTATTCTGTTTCCCATTCCAAGTACTTACTTAAGTGGTTGACTGTGCTGGGATGTTTTTTCTTTTAATCGACAATGCTCTTGGGGCTGTGTGTTGAGCTGGCTGAGATACCGAGCGCCCGCTCTGGGCTGGATCCTAATAGTCAGGTCAGCTTCTGCGTGGTTCCTCAATTCCTGCTTCCGATGTCAGAGATCTGTTACCCTCGTTCGAGCAAAGGAATTCCACGCAAGGTGGGGTTTTGTTTGTTTGCCAGTCACGGTGAAGCTTGATTGATCACTGTTGATCTATGAAACGGGGTACAATCCGCAACAATTAATTGCTGTAGCTGACGTTTTTTTGAATGTTTTTGCTTCTCCAACCTGGTGCACGGATTCCACTTTGTCAAAAACCTTCTTTGAAAAGCATCACCTCTAACGGCGCCAGTCAGACAGTAACAAACAAGGACTATCCGGCAACATCGGTGGTAGCACTAGTAGCAACACACCATAGACGTGCAAACACGTACATTCTAAGTCAAACACAAGCATAGCTAATGGACATGCGCTTGCAAACTTCAGCAACGCGACAACGACACGAAATCTGTCAAACCTGACACAACGGTGCCGAATTCTTGACCTCACAAACTCAAAGCCATTCTTTTTGCTTGGTCTCACTTTCTAGTCAACTGACTCCTGACATAAAGATACCTCTCCTTGGTTGGGCTCTAGAAAGAGACTGTTCTTACGTTTGGTCACAAGTTACAGTTTACCTTCAAAGGAAAAAGGAGAAGGCCCTCAGGCCTCTGGCATTGTTCCCGTCATTCGGTGTTGAAGGGGACATGACATGTCGCTACTTTTGTAAAAGTAGCAAAGTGTATGAATTCAGATCAAGATGTCACACTCCCGCTCAAAGGTCGAAGAACCTCACAGATTCGTTCGAAATCTTTTCACTTGGCAAAACAGTTTCAAGTAGTATGGGAACGGATGCGGCTTGAACCACTGATTCTCCGATACATCAAGCTTCATCACAAATCGCCTCTCTCCTGGCGTTTTGCGGCGTTTTTCGCCCTTTCTTCGGCGGCGCCGAGGCGCTGGCGGCGCTGCTCAGCGACAAGGGGAAGCCGTTGGACCCCATGGTGTCTGGAGCTCCCAGCGGCCACCGACCTCTCTCGTCAACTCCGGGCTGGGACCGACGACGATCAACGACGCGACACGAGGCTAGGAGGTTACTTCCATGGGTGGGAGCACTGGAAAAGACAAATGGAAGGAATGTGGTGAACACAAGAATTCAAACACATTGCCATTGCCTTGTGGAAAAATGAGATCCTGGATTCCGGACTCCCCGGCCGAGGTCCTCCTTAGCTGCCACGGCTCAGTCCCTGTCCAAGCAGGACCTTCCAAAGCTTGAGCCTTCTTTCGGCCCAAGTCATTTCTTCCAACATCTTCTTCCTTGTTTGTAAAGTGATAAAGTGAAACAACACTTTAGTTTTCTCTTCAGTCTCTTCAGGGGAAAGCACTGAGTCCCTTAATGTTTGCAGGACCCTGCAACACGTGAAAGCTCCGTGAATTCCATCAAGACATTGCAGCAGGGACTTCTCGACAGTATCGCCAGAAGCTTGACGTGTTCAGTGTCCAAACGACCGGGTGGTTGGAAAAGGTGGTGGCGCAGGGAGACTCGCAGTGTGGGTTTGAACGCTCTCAGCGTGGGTGGGTCTATTTGTTTCCAACAAGCATGTAGATGGTTTTGTACATTGTATGATAGATTAATCACGAAAGGTAGCTTGAGCTACCCGAGTTCTCCTTGCTTTAGCAAAAATGTATTACAATCAGGAGTTGGGATTGTGCATTGCATTTGGTCCTGTAAGAGTTGATTCTGTTCGTCGGGGGGGGCCCCCCCTGGATCAAATCCCCCCTGCGCCGGTTCACGCCGTCATGGACTTTTACCAGGGTTGCTTGTGATTGCCTGTTGCTTGTTGTGTTTGTTCACTGCAAGAAATGGATGGGAAAGGCCAGTCTCAATCTGTCTGGCTTCGCAGTGGCAGGTGAATAAGTCTTCAAGTGTAGATGATGTAGGACATCGGACATCAGCCATTCAACCTTCTTTGTATTCATTCTTTGGATGTAAAGGGCTGCAGGATGATTTGATCCAGTACCAAATCCCACATGTTTTTGCTGCTGGTAAGGAAATCGGTGACCAATCAGAGCGTCTTCGATAGCTGTAGCACACGGAAGACGGCTGACTTTGCTCATGCGCAGACCGTGAAGATGCTTGGTTGCATGCATCGACCAAAATTCACTGCTGAAACTGAACTTGAGCGTTGGCTTGGTTTATCAAATCACTTGGCAGGGGTATCTAGAGCAGATATTTCCCACAATTTTGGCCTTGGGCAGTGGTGCCTGTCACTTGACTATCAAGAGGCAGGAACCCTGTTGCTAAGATTACTTTTCTGCACCTACCAGCAGGTGCAGAAGTTCTTTCTCCGGCGGTAGTTTGGTGCTTTTCATCAATCGTACCTCTAACTTCAACACCTTCAACAGAGACAACTGGAAGGCACTCACTCACTCTGCTTTGTTTCCTCTAAAGCCTCACGGTGGGGGTTTGCTTGAGGTCAGGTAGAGTGAGTGAGTGCCGTGCGTCATTCCGATGTGACCTGGGTAGTGCGATCTGCTTTCAGCGCTTTTTTCGCCAAGACTGATATCAAAAGACCAGATCTGGCAGGAAGACATGCTGAAGGTGGCGGCCACCGCTCGGTGCGAGTATTTCCAGTCGGTGGATCGGACGCTGGGCTTTCGCGACTTCCAGTCGAAGTGGGGCACTTCCAGTCAGTGGGCGTGTTCTTTGTGTTTTTCCTGGTAGACGAACAGGATGTCCAAGACATTTAAAGTTCTTGGGACTCCCTTGTCCATGTTTTTCATGATCTATTTGTGTGGCTATCTATTAACAACTATGCCTTACACGTGGATCCAGCTTGTTAGACGAAAGGGTAAAGTGGGAAGCAAGAAAGCAGTTCAGAACTTTCACGTTTTGCCGGGCTTGGAATGTGCAGAAAGCATCTTAAGACCGGAGTTTCTCCCTTAATTAAGCAAGTTTTCAAGCGGTGTGTTGCACGACATAAAAGTCAACTCACACAATGGGCGAAAGCTGAAGCAGCGAAAGTTGATAGTCGTGGTCGTGTTTCTTAAGAAACGCATGCATTCTCGGATCAACATATGAGGACTGACAACTTTCAGTCGTGGTTCTGTCATGAGGAGTGCCTTGGCTGAATCTGGCATACTGGGTATGAATCCTACATGTCTTGTCAGCACTCAACATCATGGCGGATTACCATTGCCGGTTTTCCTTTCTTAGTCCTCTCCTGGGGTGAATCATCCAGCATGATCTTGGTTCCTTCTCTTAGTGAGCTGGCTTCCGTTTTCTATCCTTGGAGATCTCCTTTACACATACTGGGTTGGGTGTGATTAGTTCTTTTGGATTCTTTCAAGCTGTCGTTGCTGAAGTTTTGGGACATGCATCAGAACCAATCTATCCTAAAATTTGCTATCAGACTACGGAAGCGAATGGTGAAGACTAAGGGTGTCCAAGCCGCCAAACCGCACGAATCGTGACTGAATCCGATTCGCGTCGCACCTGGCGCTCAGTGACTTTCCTGCGAGCAGCAGCTATGAAGCCTACCTACAGCGGAACATCGAGATGCTTGCGGACTTCAGGACCGTGGCTGTGGGGCATGGCACCAGGATTTTTTGACCGGTTGACCTACCTGGAAGAAAGGTCGCTCGCGACGTGGTGGCCAGGGCTCCAGGTTTTGATCCACAGCCATGTCAGCTTCTCCAGGATCTCCTGTTTGGAAGTTCAACATGAACCAGACTCTTAGCTTTTCGACACCCGTCAGGAACAGGGACCCAATCTGCAGATGATCAGATGATGGGAGGGATTTGGAGTTGAGAGCATGTGGAGTGGTCCTTGGTTGTTGGACCAACGAAGCAAGCAAGCGAGCGGAGCGGAGCGGAGCAGAGCAGAGCAAGCAACATCAATGAATCAAGCAACCAACCAAGCAACACTACAGTCTACAAGAGAATCTGTGAACATGTTCCAAAGCTCTGTGGATGCAGAATGACCTTGACCACCGCACTTCCAGGGTACCTCTAGCCCGTCTCCCCGAAAGAGTGCTGTTTAGCCAGTGGGTCTTTACAGGAACATTGTCTGAATGGCTCTCCCTTCGAAAGACCGTTGTGGAGCTGCACCAGGATGCGGAAGGCCAACTGCAGCAATGCGACGGCCGCGCACGGCAGCAAGCGCTGGAGTGCTCTGGGCACCAGCAGCAGGCAGCGGCCAAGGAGGCCACCGTGGGTGGGGCAAACAAGTGGATGGGGAGCACGCCGAAAAGAGCGTCAATTCTTGACCAGGCCGTGTTCCTTTGGGAATCGCATGGAATCGCTGTAACTCCTTCCTGGAACAAACGGGAAGGTTCGCCGTGCTTCACGCCGTGGCCGTGGCTGACGCTGTCGCTGATGCTCCGTCGCTCTGAGGTGGCTTGTGCCCACTTGACCCCCACTGCCATGCCCATCGATTGCAGCTCCTATGTGGCCACGAAGCAGGTCGC